AGTAGTAGTAGTAGTAGTAGTAGTAGTAGTAGTAGTAGTAGTAGTAGCTGAGCAGTAGAAGGAGGACTAGAAGTAGAAGTAGTACTATATATTTAGTGGAAGTAGTAGCAGCAGCAATAGTAGTTCTAAGCAGTAGCCGTTGGAAAAGCCATGCATAAGTCAAGGCAGGATCTTAAAGGGAACCAATCCATACCCATCCAACAACTGAACAATAGAAAGCTAAACTAAGCTCGGAGATGTTTCCCCGGGCGTGTTCGACCCCCGGGACTATTTCAGTTCGGTGCTCGTGGACTATCCGTTTGATGTCGTTTTGGGGGGAATGTGTTTTGATCCGTTTAAAATAGAGCTTAAAGCATGTTTTAAGTTCCGACGTGGAAGATTCAAGCAGAAACTAAGCAAGGATCTGAAAGGGAACCAAATAGCTGATGTTCTTCTTTTAAAGCAAATCTAAGTAAACACGCTTTATTGATGTTTATTTAAGACCCATCACTTGAAGTGCTGAAAAAGAGTTCAGAAGTTTGGAATTTGGATGTGTTTTGTGTGGTTTTTTTTTGCACTTGTTTTGTTCGCTTCTACATTGGTAGTTTAGGATGTAAATTTATCGATATACAAAGACCTCTATGTATCTCAAGGGGGTGGTGGTACAAGAGGTTTGGGCGAGGTTCAGGTTCAATGTGGGTGGGAGTTGCCGACGAGATTCCTTCGAACCTTCCTCTGGAGGAATTTTGATACTGATACAGGACAAATGGATCAATTTGTGGTTTGCCCACTCGCACAGGCTCCTCTTTGTCCTGGTTCGCGTGATTTCATGTTGGTTCGCATGTGACTTTCTCTCGAAACCTCAAAACAGAATGGAAGACCATGGAAGACCCAAATGACTCCCAGACACTCCATGCATGGCATATTTACGAAACCACCCCGACCCCAACTGATCGGCATATATGGCAGTCCCATGGAGTGTTTGGGACTGGCAGTCCACCCACCCGAACACTCAGGATGTGCCTGCGGCTATCGTTCGACTCCCGGTTTTAGCGCGGCTATCGTGCGGGGTCGATGGTGTTCTGAACACCGAGGAAGCGCCAAACACTCCGAGCGAACAGTTGGATTTGGCTCTCAACAGTTGGGCCTCTGTAAAGTCTCAACAGTTGTGCACACGTCCTGTATCCTGTTTTTCACTGATTTTGGATGCGATCGATACCCACCCCATCAGAAAAGAGCGTCCCCATGTCATGCCATGAGTGTAGATGCTCAGTGAAGCTCTAGAGTTCTGATAAATCAGGGGATGAGGCCAAATCGCACGGAAACGCATTGGAACGTATTCGGCTTGCTTCAGGGAGCTCGCTGAAAATTGTCTCATAGCCCCAATCCGCAATCAGTTGGACATTGCAGACAGTCACAGACGATGACCCGAATGCTCCCAGCTCGCAATTTGCTCCATGTATCAGGGTTGACATCGAAGAATGACTTCCACACACTCGAGAAAGCTAGGATGGTTGCATTCTCCTAATGAATGACATACTAGTTGTCGCTGTGGGCCAACCAATGCCCGTCACAGCACTCATTTCAATCCATTCTCTCTGAGGTTTTTGCTGCGGCTGCAAGCTTCCGGGAGGCGCGTAGGATTCGTGAGATGACGTATGACTAGTGCTGACGGCGTTCCACTATAGGCTAAGTCGTTTTGCCATGTTTTGCCCATGTTTTAGGAACCTAACGTGAATCCCCACCATAATGAACCGCCAGTTGAACCGCCCGATCAACTCTCCTCATGTTTCCAGTTACAAGCAGCGGTCTCCACAAAGATGAGCAGTCTCTACAAAGCGCCAGGTCATGAGCCCTGCAGCTGCGAGCAGTGGAAGGCAGAAGAGCTTCTCTTTTCGCTCGTCTCCAAGTCTTTCCGGTCGACCTGTTACCCCGCAAACTACCGCCATTTGACTGAGTTCCATGAGCTGCTGCTCAAGGTGAGGAATCTGACTTTCGTGACTTTGATTGACCAGCTCTGGAGTAACTTGCTCAGGTGAGTTGAACAGGTGTTTGGGATGATGTCAAACAAGCACGATGAGTCATTCATGTTAGGGTCATTCCCTGTTTGGGATGATTCCCTATATTTATATATATAAATTATTGGGGTTGCAGTGCAACCGCCTCAGTCTGAGCGAAAGAAGCCTCAAAGGTTAACAAATCTATGGGAAGCTACTGAGTCTCAGTATAGTTTGGAAGGTGAGTGTGTCCCTATCATGAGAGCTTGTTCCATGTTTCATGAAAACCAAAAACAAAGGAACAGCATGCTGACACGGGCAGATCGTACCATGGGAACGGGGAACGCTGCTCTTGAACTCGGTCAAGCCCTTGAACTCCTTCCCTGTGGAGTAGTGACCCCTTATTCCCAGATCAAAAACAGGTCAGTGGAACATGATGGAACATGCGTTCTTTCCACTAGAGGCCATAAAGGGATGTATAACTCTTGTTCGATCCGGGCATGTTTGAAACAGGTGAAGGTTATTTTACAAGCTCTTCCAAGCTGAAGCTTTCAATCTGCCATGTCACACAATGCTTGGTTCCACTGGAAATATTGGCCAATTGACTGCAGCCACCGCTATAGCTTAGCCCTGGAAGAGCCTGCAAACCTTGATTCCTTCTTCACGTGGTAGCTGGACTTCTTTGGGTTTGATTTCCAGCCACCCTCGCTCGATCTCATCTCAGGGTCTTCCGTCCGCAAACCGGAAACACAAACGACGGAACTGGTCACGAAGGTTCAGTAGCACAAGCTGTGGCCGTTTGAGCTACGGTGTTCCTCTTGAAAGCTTCACCTGAACCAACAGCTACCTGGGTCTGTCTTCGAAGACACCCAAAGACATCCTGGAAGAACGAACATCCTGGAAGAACGAAAACAGACCAACACAGAGGGTCTCGTTGCGGAAAACAGACCACACACCCACATGTTGTCCAAGAACCAAGGGTCAGGTCCAGCCATGTACAGGCTATGAAAGGAAGAAAGCGGTGGGGTCCAGCCTTTGAAGAAACTGAGCTGATGCATACTCTGCACCCTGAGAATTGAACTTTGAAAGACCAACAATTCCGCTGCAACCGATTGGGCGGCTCTTGAGGTTCTGGTTTGTTTGAGGTGCACTACGCCCTGTTACTATCACAATCAAGACTATGACAACCCGAGAAATTGCCGACTGGATTCACTTATTGATTCTATGTACCTTCGCAGATTCCTCAGTGGCTGGATGGAAAATCGACCGTCCCGTTGATCAAAATCATCGATGTCCTATGATGTCCTCCGGTTTTTGGGCTTAGTAGTTTATCAATCATCGATCATTGGTTCCCTCCGATTTTGAGATGACCGAATCACCCGAACTTTAAAGAAACTCCAGGCTTGGATTGACGCCCATCCACAGCTCGAGCAGCAGCAGAAAGAGCGGAAGAAGCATTTGGACCACCGGGGCTGCGCTGGGAAGTTGTTCGGGGAGGTGATGGAGGCTGGTCACCAAGGGTAAAATATCCATGGGGAAACCCAACAGTTTGGCCATTCAGTCAAACAGATCGACCAGGATCATCCAATGAGTGTCCAATGGCTGCTTAGAGATCTCCATTGGACCCATTGGATGATCCAGGTAGTTAAACCTGGGGTTTGTAATCCTCTAGAGTGGCTGGTCGGTTGGTCCATGGTTCTGATTGAGCCACAGTCAAACCCTGCCAGTTGCATCATATTATTAGATTAAATTAAATGTCTATTCGGATTCATTACAAATTATTCATGATTATTCAGGGCATAAAAGAGTTAAACCGGAAGGTAGCCAGATGCACCCAGTGATTCCAGCTGCTACAGCATATAGAGGGTGCCTCTTCAGGGCGGGCCATGGCAGCCAGAGATATACGCCTTTCGGTCCAAGTTCGAGCCACTCGACTAAGATCTGCGGGGTTTGGGGGGTCTCAAGCAAATGTACGTTTTCTCGGCCATTTGTGGTGGGGAAGGTTCACGATCCAAGGGATCCAAATGAATAGCCTGGTTTTGCTTAGTGTGATGTCCATATTTTCCCTGTTTGTGAATCAAAGGGGAAGAACGTTTTATACTGTTTTCCGGTTTCTTAAGCAGATGCAAGGTAGGGACTGGATGGGCTTTGCTGGGTTAAGATCTAGAGGCACCCCTGGATCCCGATTGCGCAGATCTGCCAGGGTGGGCAGGTGGTTGAAATGCTTTGAGTGTCGATCGGTTCAAAAATCCCTCGGTGGCGGGACTCGCATCCATCAAGCCTTTGCAGTGATTAGACAGACCGCCAGACAAGGGTCTTTGAATTGAATCAAGAACAAACAACTTCGCAGATGCCTTTCAGCAAACATGCCATGCAAGATAGACAGATGGTCACTGTGCAAAGCACCGTGTTTGTTCTCGGCACCAAGTGGGTAGTTTTCAGTGGCCTCTCGACACCCTCGAGAGCTCTTTCCGCCCTGACTCCAAGATGTGTGAACTACCTACTCTCGCTGGCCTCCAAATGGAAACATGAGAATGGATGAGAACGTCCACGGATTTGACGAGCCGTTTTCGTCGCCGTTTTCCCTAGCCGATGAAATCATATGTCTATTTTCACCCCAACATATCAGTACTCCAAAGATCATCCACCACTCCCAGCTCGTCCTTACACGCGCCGCCATGGCCGGAACTGGGCTCGCGCGATGCTGCAGAGCCGTTGCCGGCGAAGCTTGTTGAGCATCGGGATCCAAGACTATGCGTTCCGACCCTTGAGGCACCGGGGAGCGAACAACCGGCTGAGCGAAAAGGGAGGGTAGGAACTTCAAGTTGGAACTTCCAAAGTTTGATCAAAGCTGATTGGTCCTGAAAACGGTGAATACCAGACGTCCATGTAGAAGTTTGGATTGTAAAGACAACATCTGCCCATTTCGGATTGTAAAGACTCTTCATGGGGCCTGAAATATCATCTCTCTATAAAGTAAAAATCTATATATATATATATTATATATACTATCTATACTATATATATATATATATGTGTACACTATAACTGTAACATACAGAGGCAGGCCAAAAGTTGGTAACAAGCCTGTGGATACATTACATACAACCCTTTCCCCCTTAGAATGCTACAGAGGATCACAGTGGAGGCGGATTAATTTCCACCCCCAAAGTAAATTACACCGAGGTGGAAACAAAAACACCGGAATGCCATTGGGAAAGAGAAGTCGGTGAGATTCTCGAGTGAAGTTACCAAACGGTGTTCCTCTTAAAGTGTTGCTATTATTACTGCTACTGTATACTGTATAACGACACACCCATCTCCTTTTTTCCCATCTCTAGTCTTCCATGTCTTCTTGATTCTAGGCATGCGACAAAGGATGCAGAGATTCTGGCCTTCAAGTTCCAAACCCGGAACTACCGGACCCAGATCGCATGCAATCTCCCTGAGACTTGGCTGCTCTTTATTGGTTGTGTGTTGTAGCTTCTCTTCAGTGGTTTGAATAAGATGTCACAGGATGAAGATTGATTTACCACTTTGGGTTTTTGGTTTTCATGGTTGTTCTGGCATGGTATGCGGATGTATGGCGTTTAGATCTACATCCAAAACATGACTTTGCTGGAACCTCGTTGTGGGATTTTTGCGGCTCTTTCATGTTGATCCAAAGCAGTGTGTCCTCCGTGAGCAGTGAGGACAGAGACTCCATCAACCAAGCAATTGACGAGTTCTCATCCAGCTGCATTGAAGATGCCACAGAGCTGATTGTGGTGTACTTTGCAGGCTATGCTGTCGCCACCGATCGTGGGAGAGTACAGTTGCAGCTACAGAAGGCAGCTCACGCTGAAGCTTGGTGATGAGAACGCTGCCTTTGAGAAGTATCATATATCTTCAACCAGCATAGCCCAAATTTCAGGGGAAAGAAGGTTTAGTAGGACGATGCTTCCAAATACCCCTGTTGCATGGGACATGGGAGTTAGGTCGAGGTAGGTTGCTTCAGGAGAAAGGAACTGCTTATTGATTGTTCGATCCCAATCGTTTAATCGTATGGCTTTCTCAGCAAGTACCCGACAGACCCGACCAACGCGTTAAAAATCAACACTTTTAAGTTAAGGAGTTCCCTCATTTGAGAATAGGATGTTCCTACCAGTTTCTGTGAACTGGCAATCAGACTCTTGGTTGGCCGCAGTTATCCTAAATTGAGACCTTCATCCCGGTGTGCACCGCCAATCCTTTCACTTAGTGGTACGTGAAGACTCTTCAGGTTCCCTTTCAGGATCCATGTGCCTTCGTGTTGAGGCTGGGTGGCTAGAGTGCGAGGGAGGGTATCTAAAACACAAAGACCAAGCAAATGGAAGGCAGATGGTTTGCATCTGGGCCAGTGAATTTCTAGTTACTTGGGTCCTTTGCCTTTCAGGACGATGTCGAAGCAGCACATTGCATTGGTGTGGGCGACTTGCTGGAAAGGATGCTCCGTTTGAAAAGGCCGGGCTGCGCGGCTGCGCCACGCGAGACCCGCGAGACCTGGTGGCCTAAAAAAAGAGGTGAGGGTTGTTCCTCAACGTTTTTGTTGAATCTGGAGGTCATGTCGGAGCTGATTCATGGACTGTTGAGCTTCCGGTGGGTCTTCAAGTTGATTTCAACAATGCTGGGTGGATTTCTTCATGTTGCTGCATTTTATCATCAGACTATATAGTAGGAAGATAATCCTCGAGGGACCGTTGTTATTTCTCAATACTGTTTTCACGTTGCTTTCTCAAGATGACTATTGATGCCCCGTGGTATCAATTAGAGACATTGAGGACATTGTGCTTTCCTACAGAATACATAGAGAACTGTTGCCAAGAGATGGAAATATATGCAGACAAATGACTGGAAAGGCATAGTACCCAGTTGGATATGATATAAAGCATGTTTTATGACAACCATCCTTTTTGAGCCCAAACCTATATCCAGATATGGAACAGAGTGCTGAAAGGATTGCAAGGGGGCATCTTCTTTGAGCCTATAGTACAATGACTATATATATTTTGCTGGATATGGTCGCAGCAAGACGTATCAAGACCATCAAGTGTAAGTAGAAATTTGGAGTCATTTGATGTGACGATCTGTACCCAGCACAAGATGACCATTGGGATGTTTTGTCGCCCTTCCCTCCCAATATCTACCAGCGACCCCGGCAACCAACACAGTCCCGTTTGAACATGGCTCCTTGCGTCGAAGTTCCGAGGCGTCCCAGATGTTTCACCTTGGCCATCCTGGATTGTGCCTCCAAGACCAAACTGAAGCTTTTGGGATTCCCACATATCCCCATGAATGGTCTTCAAATCAAACATCAAAAGTCCAGTCAGATTGTTTTGAAAGAAGCTGCAGTTGTGAGGGATCACAACTTCAGACCTTGTTAATGTTGTTTCTTCCTTTTTCCTTTGGACCCAGTAAGACCTGGTCCTTTGGCTCATTATATGAATTATATGTTTTTGTATCATCAAGTCCACTACAATGAGGATTTTGACCTAGGGTTTCAGAAGGAATGCTCCCGGGTACCCGGTACCCAGAAGAACTGGCTTCCACGCTCAGGTGGCCACAGCCATGTGGAGCTTGGAGCACAGGAGGCCTCCACGCAACATTTGCCGCTGAATGGTCGCTGGGCCACACTGTGGTCGACAGGTGCACAGGAGAAGAAGATTGGAAGCTGATCAGATTGTGGATAGTAGCCGTGGTAGTAGCACATAGTAATGCCTGCACCAGCCAGAGACACCAGCTGGTGGCACCATGTGTGTAGTGAAACCAGCTAGTACATTTAGCTGATTGTGACTGTTTGTGTGTGTTAAAGCGAATTTAGGTGCTTGGGTTTCATAGACGTCATGACACAGGGTCGACCCTGACAATCGTAACGTGAGGATGGTTTGTGGAGCGAATCATTCAGAAGTTCGGAAGTGCGGTCACCTTTCCACACAGACTCATCGCTAGTAGTAACAGGTGCATCGCTTCTAGTAACAAGTGCCTTACTAGTAGTAACAAGAAGCTATTACTTAATTCTAATTTTCACCTTTCCACACAAATTCAGTGATGATATAACCATAGGCTGTTAACCGCACTTTGCGGAATGCAGGAGCCACAGCTCGTGGAAGCTGGCTATGGGCACCTTGTGTGTAGCTTGGTTTTGCTGATGCGGTGGTGTTGATTTTCCCGAACTGGGTGAATTGGCTTCCCATCCTTTGGCATGGAGAATATCTGTTTCACATATATATACATATATATACGTATTTGTTGAATCACATCCTGAAGCCAATCCAAGGTAGCATCTTGCATCACATGGTCATGGATCCGGAGCTGGAACTTCATGAGGTCACCGGACGCCTTCATCAGCACGTGATGTGCTCGACAGAAGCTCACGTGATGTGCGGGTTAAGGGATGACGCGTCGATTTTGAGGTGGATCGAGGATGATGGAGGTATGTATCAAGGTATGCAGGTTGGCCATTGATGGTGCAGGGTGAGCCGATTTCATATGATTTCCAAACATGTCCAAGCATTTCCTTAATTGGAATCAGATAGATTCAAAGATCTTAATTGTGAACCTGTTTCTGTTTTGTTCCCCTTGCTGGACCCTACCCTACTGAAGATCGCATCTCACATTTAGCTGCATTGTTTGGGTGTGTCATGCCTATCCTTCAAACAATCCGACGGTTGAAGGGGAACCATGTTGGGTTCCGTTCAGCCGCAGCCGCTTCTCGACGGTCTCGGGCTCCGTCCGGGGAAGCCCGAAAAGCCCGGTCGAGACCGTCGACGTCGACGGTGCGCATCGGATGTTCGCCCCACTCAGCGACCCTTTCAAAGTAGCTCCGAAAACCCTCCACCATCCGAGTAGTGGGGGGAAAGTGATTGGATCTTGCGGAGGGCCTGACGTCACCTGCAAGACACCAGTAAGAGTTCAATTTTCCCAAGCCATCCCATTTGTGGAGACACAATCACCTTTTTGGTAGCCTGTGGGACCTAGGACGAGTTCAACCCCCTTCAGCCGTCTTCCTTCCAACCCTACAGAAGGCCTATATAAACCCCCAAACCCGCCCATCCATCGGTCCAACTCCAGCTTCACCCTAGAACGATAGAAGTTTCCCCCGGCGACAAGTCCAAACTCAACCCACAACCACTGGCTCGATCGGAATGGACCAACCAAACCCAACACCACACCACACCAAACCACTCACCACCCCCCATCGATCCATCTGGGTTCTCACTAAAGGATGCGCAAAGCGTCCAGATCTTCGGCTCCACGGAGCATGCGCCCTTGATCTTTTCGCATGAAGTCTGGAGACCCGAGCCCCTTGGCAGCACGGTCAGCGTCCCCAAGCGTTTGCCCCAGGTTAGGAGGACGGTGCAGGGTTGGGAGGTCGACAGTCGGTCGGTTTGGGCGGTTGGTGTTTCCAAAAAGGATATTATGATATTACAAAGGAAGGGAACATCGATTCCATAATTTTTTTGGCCTCCAGTCGTACCTTCTGAGGTTCGGTGGGACTGGGGGCCCGGGTCCAGTCATACCGAACCTGAGGAGGTACGACGAAGTCGGTGTAGGGTATATGATGATCCTATATGTCAACTTCTGTGTTTCTTCGGTCGGGACAACCGCAGACCTCGACCCACCCTAGGTCGCTGGCCTTGAGCACCATTGGCCGCCTGCGGAGCACCTCCTCGGTCACGGTGCGGCGGAGCCTCTCCGCGTGTCACCGAGCAGGAGGAGGTTTCGGTGTTCGGTGTTCGGTGCCAAAGAACAGAAAGCCAAGCTCACAGACTTCCCAGGAAATCCAAGAGACTGGTTTTTGTTGATGGCCAGCTTCAAGAATCGCCAGACCAGGTAGGAGACCCCGACTTTTTGCTTTTGGCATCTCTTTACACGACCTTTTGGTGATATCCAAGGCAACAGGTCCTGCGACTGCAAAGACTTTCCCAGCGACTTTAGGTGCCACCAGTTCTGGGGAGCCAATGATTCTACAGGCGACCAATTGAAGTAAATGTGTTTTTGTTTTTTCAGATTCAGATAGCCCCGTTTGGCCTACTAGAGCGGAAACCGGAAGACATCTCCCGGAAGAACACCAAACGGGGCAAACCCACTGTTGTATCCGAATCCCAGCATCGCCAGTAATGTAGTCCCGAACTGTTGATTCAAAAAGAACAAGAACACAGACATGGAATGAAACACCTCTTCAGGCCGGGGTGGGTCGACATATGTTGACATATATATATAATATATATATATATATCATATATACCAGCATCCTCCAACAGGTCACCACCTGCCGCTTTTAAGTCTACAAAAGTCACCAGAGGAGACCTGTTGGAAGGTGCTGGTATTTTATTATATATAAGATTAGCTTAATCAGGTTGGTTTGCAACATCTCCGCAACGTCTCCGGTCTCCGCTGGGATTCTCTCCCAGGTTGTTCGCGACTCTCCGCCCAATGCCAGGGTTGCTCTCGTCACCGCCTCTTGGATGTTGAGGTGATCCAGGGAAATGCAGGGAGAGTGACCTGAGACCAAGGGAAAGAACTCACCACACAGTAGTCATTGGTATCTTTGGAACTCGATCATGCTTTGCTAACATCTTGGTCTCTTCACTCAACAGCTTCTATTGATACCCAAACCCACCCAAAAGATCCAAGAACTTTTGGGAGTTGCCCCGCAGGCTGCCAGATTTTCACTGATCCCATAGTGACATGAGAGGCTTTGAGTGCGTTGTTGCTCCGCATCCATCTCCAAGACCTGTCAACTGCTGGTCTTTATAGGAAGAGATGGATGACCGTGGTCGCTGGATACACCAGCAAAGACCTAGTTCAACGCGTCCAGCTTCCCAACCTAAAAAGCTCTTCATGGTTGTTCAAAGTAATCTTTTGATATCCTGGTTTGAGGTCACTCAGACCTGTAAAAGGTCAATTGTATAGGGACTCCAAAAGGAGTTTAAAGAAGCTGGTTCCTGAACTAAATGAGGATTGGAATCTGTATGGTGTGGGTCAGCCCCCATGGTTCCTTGGGCCGTCTTTCCTGGGCAAGAGGGGCCGACCATGTCCCCATTGGGTCCTTTTATCATAGTTTAGATGTTGTCATATTTTTCCTACACCTCCAGTCGTACCTCCTCAGAAGGTATGACTAGACCCTCCTGGCACCCACCCCAGTCCCAGGTACGACTAGAGGCCTAGTCAATTTCTCGATATAGGGCCGGGAATTGTCCATTTGACCCTTGAACGGTGCACGACACTCTACATGACGCTCGTCAGGTCTCCTTTATGCGCTCTATGGGCTCTTAGCAATTGGCATTCTGGTGCTCCTCGTGGTGGTGGCCATCAGATCTCGTTCCGTCTCGCAACTCTCGTTCGTCTCATTGCGGGCTGCGCGCCTGGTCGTCACACACGAAGGATCCTCGAAGAATCCTTTGCGGAGCAGCGCCCCTTTGCGCGGCTGACCGAAGAAAAAAGCGGGCGCTGCATGGCGCTGCTGTAAATACAGGTTGATTGGATGATGGTGAGTGATGGAGACCTTACTGGGAGTCTGAAGTTGAATATGGATTTAGGTTCATGGTCAGGAGCACAAAACGGATCATAAAGCTGAGGTGGGCTTCGGTGGAAAATAAGCGCCAGAAGGCAAGTCCAGTGGATTCTACCATGTTTCTGGCCTAAATACTGGACTTGTAGAGGTTCAAGTCCTGAACCACCCTCCACCTCCCACAGGTCACCAAGGGGAGCTGTTCCAGCTTCCTACTTCATTCAGATTGGTTCTATTTTCCCAAACCGAGCCACCTGATCTCCAAACAGACCAACTTTAGGTCACTTTTCACTCCACCACTCCCCCTTTCCCCTCGCTCGGGACTCCCAACTCGCCAGCTCGCCAGTTCCTCGTCCGCACGTGCTCGCGGCGCTTGCGCGCAGGATCGAGACGAAGTTTGGATCCGTCGGAATGCACAGCATTGCCCGGGCTGCCGAGGACGGGACCGATTCGGACAGGTCCGAGGACGGGACCTCGCACGGAGGGGATGGAGGATGGAAGAGGAGAGTCGACAGACTCGAACTGAACGGATTGAATAGATTGGGTGCGCGCCACATGATTCTAATTCCCAGAGGATTGGCCTACATTCACCACCAAAAACCATCAAATGTAGGCGATACTTGCTATGCCATGGATCTTCTGGGATTGATTCTATTGTCCTGACTGCTAGGTTTTTGGCACGCAGGAGGTTGCTGGCGAAGCTCATGTGACAGTTGTTATGTGTTTCTTCACAGATGAAAACACATCAGCGTGGCATCCCCGTATCCAGGGAATCTCTCCGACGTCGGGGACTCAATAACAATAATTTGACAGTTGTTCAAATCTTTGCCTATATATGGCTAAACCATGCATGGGTAAACCATAGCTGTTTGAAACATAAAAACAGATGTCTTCCCAATTTGAGGGCATTGATCCCTTTTGACCAGACCACCTGCAGTGCTTTGCCGGACTTCGTCGTCCGCACCAGACGTGATTTGCATCATTCATCGCATCCGGGAGGCGTTGTCGAGCGCAACGGCGGGTGCAACCACATGGCACGTCCGACGCGACGTGTCGCGGTCGGCGCGTTTTTCGCGCCGGACCCGCGAAACGGGCGGTGGATGGCGGTGGACGCGGGAGGAGCAGAGGTCATTGTCGAATTGAGTCAGTGAAGTGGAAGTACGGCCATCAGGTGTTGAAGAAGGCGCAGGATCCAATCTCCCATGCTGTTTCTTGTGCATGAGCAGATGGATAAAGACGATTATATTGGTTGGAGGTCGTTATTTCGACAAGAGGATCTCCATCAACGCATACTTCCACAACAGCCTGGTGGTGACTTGTAGGAGTAGGATGATGGTGTAGGGGGTTTAGTGAGAATGTTCAAAGCTGGATCTACTTGATTGTACTGGTATTGGTGATACATATTATACCCGTTTGTAGTTCGCTTGGAATATCTTGGAATGGATCCTTTGCCCCATGAAAGAGGACACCACATTCTACTGTAATATTACAAGGGAGCTGCGGAGCTGTGGAATTTTCGAGAATTGTTGTCGCTGGGTTATAATTGAATTCTCTGGATATTCAAAACTGGGACCCAGGCCCACTAGACTTTCTATATATGTCACTTACATAACTTCAGTGCACTGGAATGGGTGTCTATGAAACTATATTCAAAGAATAGATCAATAACAGAACCGTTGCAACATGAGTTGCGGCAGTGGAACATCTGAACCTCCGACTCCCATCCTCTTCCATCTCTCGTCGGGGAGATGAAGGAGAGGGTTTGTTCGTCATGCTTCGTCTCGTTTGGTGAGCTCCTCTCAATGCTGATGTTGCTCCAAGCCATTGCCTGGAATCTTCAATTCAGATTCTTCAAACGATCTCATGACATGTTTATAAGGCCTGACAACTACTCATGTTTCCATAATATACCGACCCCATCTAACCCCTGATCACATAATCACATATCCCACTGGTGCGAGCCTTTCACCCCCACTCGATCATCCCGCGACGGGCAGATTTGCCGTTGTGGAGTGCACTTCTGCTATGTTTGTGGGCGGCTTTGGCAGGCACCGCACTTTTTGAGCGTTTTCTGGGGGTTGGTCTGAGAAGCGGGGTCTACACTCTGACCAACACATTACATAATTAGGAGTGGAAAATGGTCCGTTGGAAGTTGGAAGTTGGAAGGGCAGTTCCACTTTCCATGTTAGGGAGAAGGAGTGTATTGATGCCCTTTCATAGGCCTCCAAGCCGCTGCCATTCCAGGACTTCAGCTCCTGGCCCCACCCTCCGTTTCGGTTCGGTGGTTGGGGTGCGTGCCAGGGGGGTTTCACCATCACTGGAGCGTTGTGGATTTCGCCTTGAGATGTGGATCCAACAGATGGACTCGGGGACGTGAGGGAAGGATAAGTGGATAACGTGCACGAGTAAACCTTTATTCACACCGCTTCACGGTAGAAGCCGCCCGCACAGATTAAATGGATAATGTGTCAGAGTAGCACCCCACGAGGATACAGGTTGGTTACTGGTGTGGGAAGCAGCAACTTGTGCTGTGGGAGCCGGTCTGTCTCGGTCTGTCTGTCTCGGTCTGTCTGTCTCGGTATGTCTGTCTCGGTATGTTTGTCTCGGTATGTCTGTCTCGGTATGTCTGTCTCCGTATGTCTGTCTGTCTGCCTGCCTGCCTGGCTGGCTGGCTGTTTGTCTGTCTGCCTGCCTGCCTGCCTGCCTGGCTGGCTGGCTGTCTGTCTGTCTGTCTGTTTGTCTCGGTCTGTCTGTCTGTCTCAGTCTGTCTGTCTGTCTGTCTCAGTATGTCTGTATCGGTCGTCTGTCAGTCTGTCTGTCTCTTTCGGGCAGGACACACGGACAAACACACCGACACCCACCCACGATGTCAGTAATGGAGTCTCCCCCCGGCTGCATAACCGGCATCGCGAACGTTCACTTATAAGAAGCCATACAGGCTTCCATCTTCAAAAAACAGAAAGCCATCAAAGCCACGGCCACACCACTTTCCAAAAATGAAGGGGCCCCCCAAGCTAAAGCTCATTAAGCGATTAATCCAGCAGCTATCTTGCGGCTTGCGCAAAGCCTACACAGCGCCTCAGCACCGGATTTTCCAGAGAAACTGATGTAGCCATTTTGACTCAAGCACACTTCTCTACTAAAGGCCAGCTCATGGTTCTGACTTCAAGTATAGGAAGAGTTGCCTCCGTTGCAGGGTGTTGCTGCGTGTGGTAGTGTGCGCTTTGGAGCCCGAGCGCTGGCGCCGATTGAGGGGGCTGTTTTTGGAGGCTGCATGGGTGCTGGCGCCGCAGCTGCTACCAGATGTTGATGGCCATGTGCGTTTTGTGAGCCTTGCTGTTTCCGCGGCAAGATGTCTAAGCCTATGGCCGTGCCTGTGCGATTGTACGCTTTGCAGCTTGGGTGCTGAGGTTGCTGCTGCCAATCGCAGTTGCGCCTTTGGGGGGCTGGGTAGTTCATGTCGCTGCAGGGCGCCTCTGCAGCCGCTGCCCACGCTGGCATAATAGCGCAATGCTTTCCGCAACTATCTAGGCTTGGCATGGTTTTTGGTGTGGGATGTGCGGTTTTGGACCCCTGGACCTTGCCCGGACCTTGCCCAGAACTACCATCCACCTGCTGCTGGTGTGCTGCTGCTGTTTGTCTGCTGCTGCTGGTGTTTTGCAGCTGCTGCTGCTGCTTGTTTGCTGTTTTTGTGTTGCTTTTGCGTTGCTTCTGTGCAGTTTGTCTGCTGCTGCTGCTGCTACTACTACTACTACTGCTGCTGCTTGTTTGCTGCTAATGCTTGGGTGCTGTCGCATGCTGCTTGGCTGCAGCTGCTGCTGCCAGCACGCTGCGCTGCTGCTGCTGCTGCTGCCGCCATACTGTAATTGGTATGGTTCAAATCTCAAACTTTCTGGCAATCGGTAGAGGATCTGTAAACCTCTTGTAAACAAGAACCTGATGTGACCTGGTCACATCGGGCCACTACTTGCGGATTAGCCTTTTTCGAGCCACCTGATGAATGGCGACAGTATACATTGCACACGAGCCGCGCTCTAGAGCGCTCGTTCTGAACAACTTCTTCCCAAGCTAGTACGGTTGGTGTTGGTGGGTTCTTGCGGCGTTTGCATGAGGCACAGGCAAACCAGAAGACACTGAAAGTGTTTGAATGGCTGCCCAGACTCTTGGCGAGATGCCATACCGACCAGCCATCCCGAAGGTGGAACTGCGACAGTCGCTGGGGCCCTGGTACGCAAGCCAGGTACTATGAGATTGAGGAAGTGGCAGAAGTAGCAGAAAGATTAGGAGCTCACGCGATCGCATATGATGCTGGTGGCCTGAACCTTGTGTACCCAACTCATGCAGTGTCTGGTTTCAACGGGACCCAGGTTGCCGCATGCAGGAGCAGCCACCCTTGGCCCTGCACGCGCAGGATTGGCTGACATTCCGCTGCTTGGACGGAGACGTCACTGATGCTTTTTTGGTAGCCGTCCCAGTGCCCATCGAGTTTGGGGAGGTGCTCGAAGCTGAAGATGCCTGACTGAATATAAGGTGGGCAGTTGCCTGATGAGATGGCTGGAGCACTTGGTGCCGGCTCCAGTTGTTGGGAAAGAATCAGGCATCAAGCCAGCTTCATTCAGAAGAAGCGGAACGGGCGGCATTAAGGAGCGCCCTCAATGGATGATTATAGTCTTAGTATGTTGCAGTTCTTTAAGGTGCATGCTGTAGCCAGGTGCGAACATTATGTGCTAGCGTGGATGGGAAAGGGCCTTTCGTGCCTGTTTTCGTGGGAGGGCCAGGCTGGATGGAGTTCTTGAGATGTGTCACAGATGATCTGGGCAACCTCAGCGGATGCATTTTGCAGCGACCTGCTTTACGTGACGGACCTTCCGTCACTCTCGCGGATGGATCCAAACCAAGGTGAAGGGAAAGTTCACTGGGAAACAAATCCAATAATGATTTGAATTTATAGTGCCTGATGGCCTGATGTATCAAACCCGTAGTGCCTTGATGTTCTGAACTCTGAACGTTCCCAAAGTCCTTAGGGGCTGAACATTCTTTTTCGCAGTGTGAGACGCAGGCTCGGTGATGGTTTCGGATATGTTTATTTTCAGCCTTCACTTGGAACAATTGAGCCCACTGAATCTTGTTTTTTGTTCGTATGTTGAAACCACCAACAGGCGGGGCAATACCTCCACTGCCAGGAGCATGAAACGCAGCGTGGAGGAATGGACTTTTTCAACTGCCGCTTGCCCAAGGCGCCACAAAGACCATCCTGGACGGGGAGCGCGGGGGACATCGGGAACTGGTGGAAATGCAAGATGGTTCTCACTATAGCAAGGTGATGATACTTGCAAGGAACATTCACATGATTATAATATACTATAGTTATATTGTGTTACCTCATGGATTGCTTGGACCAGAGGGTCTTTCATAGCCCGGGGTAGTGGAGTTTTCAGTTTGGTTGAAGTGTGGTAGTCTGCTTTCTTCAATGTGTTGTTTTTATTTTGTTCAATCACTTCAAATAGTTTCTTCTGGTCGATTTTCATCTCCTGATGTCAGTGAACAGCCTCAAAGATGGATTTTGTTCTTGAGGAAATGAGGCAAGAGGAACTAATCTGAGGAGAAACTCCGACCTGGCTTTGGGACATGTTTGCTAACCTGGATGAGTTGAAGATGCAATGTGTTCTGCATGGAGTACTAGTCGACTTGGCCGTCGCAGCTTGGCCGTCGTCGCCCACTTTTCAGTCGGAGGTTGCTAGGCTGGCTGTCACCCAAAGGCCCTACCTTGAGGCATTCGAGGTCGCATTTCTTAGCTAGTGTCAGCTACTAAGAATGACAATGACAATGACCATCAATGGCCCCTTTTACGACCACCCTTCATCTATAGACAGAGGTCTATAATTTCCGGACACAGCGCCTCGCAATGCCTCGCTTCCCAGGCGCACACGCACCGGAGCGGTTCGAAGACACAGAGCTCGGAAGGTTTTGCGGAGGAGCGCTGGCGGGGTGTGCAGCGCGGGGGAGCTTGGTGGAACAGGATGAATGTGTTCGTGTCTCAATGGATCGGAGATGAGGGGGACGCATGGGGGACGCCACAGGGACCCAAGGCAAGACTTGCTGTTTGCAACTGTCCTTGCCATGAACACAAGCTTGCTCCCACGTTCATTGGTCTTCGACGGACTTCATCAGAGCCCCAGTCAGAGCCCCCTAATGTCCTCTAGGCTCTAGGGAATGTCCTCGAGAGAAACTGGTCGAAGACCCCGTTTGCGTGAGTAAGGCACGCTGAAGATCTCATGAAAGAGCTGTTTATGTAAATACATGTGAATTAATTTGCAGAATAGGTCCATACAATAAAATATCATAATTAATTATATAATATATTATATAGGTTTAAAGACCCACATACAGAATTAGCATCCCCCAAACCACTACAACTAGAGCATAACTTCAGCTTACTAGACCCATTTGGTCTCCATCCATCCACCGGCCGCCGGCCTCGCTCTCCTCGAGGACCCCATCGCGGAGTTCCAAGCGCTGGAGAGGTCCGGAGAGCAGCTGCGGACGGAGGGTTCGCCGGCGAACCGGCGACCGTTGCAGAGCGGTCCGGACACGTCGAGCATCATGGACTATGGAAATCGATATGTGAAGTGAAACTGAAGCAACCGAAACAACCTGGCCTTCACCAACGCCACCTAAGTCTACCAACCTTATCTAACCCAACCTCTTCAAAGCCCAAAACGACTCAGACTAGACTGCAACAGGAATGTGGCGTGTGCACAACGCTGGGCGATGGAAGCTGGTAGCCTTTTACAGGCCCAGTCGGGAGCACGAGGAGTTTGGAGGGGAATTGGATGGAATTGGATTCCTCCCATGATTTTAAGCATGGTGTTGCGGATTCGTTTAGGAGGAGTCGGAGAATGGTGTGAAGTTTGCTTTTGCCGAAGGACTATAGGATGTGAAGGCTTATTTGAGGGAGATAAACATGCAGATCTTTCTCGTGACTCCATTCACTACCCACCTGCAGAGTGTTTTGCCGTCACAGGCTTGTTGTTTTCCTTCCATCAACTAAGCAAACAAACTTAACTTGACGTTGATGCTTGTTTTTGGCCGCAGGTTCAATGAGCAATGTCAAACAAATCACAACCAGTTGGACTGCCAGGTACTGTCAGGTACTGTCGACCGTCACAGTCATGAGTTCTGATGATGTTTGTTTGGCGTGCCGCGGCGTGCCTTCGCTTCCAAATGTAACCAGTGCTGGCTGTAGCGAGGTTGTTTTTCAGTGTTTGCTGTGTTCAATTAGCCAGCCAGGTACGATTGAAAGGTAAGCACTGACCCTCCAGTCATTTGCAAGAACTTTGTGGTCCGATGTGGTCCAGCCATCGCCCATGGCCCAGGCGTTCCATCATGTCCTGAGTTTGCCAACGCCATCAAGCCCGCCAAAGAGCTCAGATCGGCAAACTAAAGTACACTTGGAGGAAAGTTGAAAAAAGAACTGCCATGCATTTCCTCCAACTGAATGGCTGAAAGCTGCTTTAAGCCTAGGGCCTAGCTGTTGGCCGGCCATCGCAGCTAACATGCAACGACTCACCCCAAGCGCCAAGTTCAGTTTATGTTGTTTCTCGATCATTTTGGTGATTCCTTTGATTCAATGTTTGTTCTAGTGACCTATATAGCAGGGTCACGGGGGGAATCTATATTGGAGTCATCATATAGTGTTGAAATAAGCAATAAAGAGACCTCTCAATCACCCTGTGCAAGAAGAAGGAACATTAAACATATAGACCAACATGATTCGACATGCCTTTGTTATTCTTGGTTGGGGTTTACAAACCCGTTTGCAAACCCAATCATGGTCCCTGTCTCAACCTCGCCCAGGTCCTCTCAGGCTGTGCGGATGGAGCCGCAACTGTCGTCGACCTGCCAGGTGTTGCGAAACGTGAAACAATTGCAGATGGTTTTCATATATGAAACGTGAAACGTAAAACACCTTTCCATTGTGATACTTCAATATATGTTGCAGATGGTTTTCATATATTGAAGTATCACAATGGAAAGCGGACCATATGGTGTTGAGAAACTTGAAACACTTGCCAGGTCTTCTGCATCACAAACCTGCGTTTGTTTGTTTGTTTGTTTTTACAATAGTATCACACCATCAAAATGATGTGAAACTATATCAGTTGGGACAGAAAACACTAGTCCTGTTCGAACACATCGTCACATATTTTATTCGGAGCTCCAACAGGCCGACTGAAGCGGGCCCGGAAATCTGTTTGCTTCGTTTCCTTGCGGTGACGACCGCAACGAGCTGAACGGGCCTGGTCCGTTTGCTTCAAGTCAAGCCACGAGTCGAAGACAAGTTAAAGTTCGGAAAGTGTCATGATGGTTTCCAAGTTAGAAAGCATCCGACACGCTCCGAACTAAGGTGTTTTTCTTGTTGTATGTTTGTTGCAGTCAGTGGTCAGGTGCCTAGGGGCACCATGACAAATCAGGAATCTCACCAACAGACCAACAGGGACAGGTTGGGACATGCAGGGGCACACATGTGGTCATGTTTCGGGGTTCGCTGCGTTACTGGAGTTCATCCCCTTCTCTCAGCCCGTCTACGGGGAGTTGTCTCATGATGTCTCATACACTATCAGGAAGCCGGCTCAACATCGAAGCATCCGTGATGCTATATGCTTTATGCTGATCCCGGACACTCCATGTATAGAATAGTTTGCCTATCAACCCCTTTTCAACCACACGGGGTCCCAGACGTGTCGTCTTTGTGGGACGGTGTCGCGTCTTCGGTGACACGTGGCCTGTCGCCCCACAGTGGCGCTCCATGGGGTGTCGCTCCTGAGTCGAGTGGCCTGTCGTGCAGTTCTGTGAGCTTCGCCAGGAGCACCTTGCGTGAGGCAGTGGAAGTCCTAGTGAATGCGCAGTGACTTGGCCTTGATGATCGCCGTGGAGGGCTTGTATTATTCGGGACACGCGGGACACTGGCCCAGCAGGGGACAGGAGGAACATGCCACTTGGTGATTCTTTTGGTACGGATTCCTGTTGAGATGCCTTTCAAGTGATCGTTGAAGTGTCCTTCTGTGTCTGTTGTTTTTTGCATCCTCAAAATCGGTGTGTTCTTCTTTTTGATCCCTTGACTCCCTTGCGAATCCTTTTTATGTTCAAGCGGTCAGCTCTCCACAAGTGAGTTGATTCGGCAGAAGCCGCAGAGACAACCTGGTCGACATCTCAGACCTCCAAGATGTTCCTTCTCAGAAAACATGCAAAGCAACATGATTTTACCAGAGGTGGAAACAAGATGCATTTGTTTGGATCGGTGTATAAAGCTGTTGCCAGCACTGGATAGAAAACCTGCAAATTCATCCAATTCATCCCCCCAGACCCTTTTGAGATCCCTGGAGACCCTTTTGTGGGGCGGGTGTCTTAAGTTCAAGATGTTCAAGCTCTTTGCCTGAGATTCTTGCCCTCACGTGACAGCCACCGCGTCTTGCCCGTGCAGCCATCCAACTGGAGGCGAACCATGCGGTGCTGTTGGGTCTTCAGGCAAAGGGTGATGCTCTTTGCGCAGCTCTTTGCTTGTTTGGGGATGCCTCATCTCAGTCAACAATCCCTCACATGGTGACCGTTTTCAGTTTTCATGTGCTTTCTGCAGTTCTACAATTCTGTTCAGGTCTGTTCCACTGCTTTTGGGGCCAAAACTACAGGTGGCCAAGGGCTCATATCATGGGCCAAAACTACAGGCTCTCGCTGGAGTTTTTCACGCGAGGTCCTCGAGCGCTGCGGATCGGTACACTGGTTTCGATGCATCAAAGGCTCCAAAGGAAGTGCTCTCACAATGTTGGAAGGGAGCGTGGAATTTTCGGAATTTCCCAGATAGTATAGCCGGCCAAATGGCTATTTTGGTGGCACGATTGAAATTGGCGTGGCAGGTGGCCTCAACTTATTGGAGGGCCAACCTGGGAATTGGTGACAAGTCTTTTCTCGAGAAGTTGATGCACAGAATTCAGGTTCTTTGGGTGCCAAGTGAAGACTCGCTTGATTGAAAGATTGAACCCCTTTCTCCAGCGATGTTTGAGGAGATCGCATCCGAAAAAGAGAAAGAGGAAGAAGTCTTATGGCAGCATGTTTGAGGAGCAGTTTGTGCAACTCTCACATGCCAAATCGTTTCTTTCTCTAGTGTTTTGAAGGGGCTTACCTCATACGGTATGTACTGCAATCAAGACCTTCTGCGCACCATAAGGACCATAAGGCTGTGGTAGTTGGACCACGGTGTGCATGACGTGGGAACAGTGTTTGTTCTCGTGTTTTTGACTGACTAACCACGCTTTTGAGTTGTTTGTTCTGGATGATGTGATGAATGAGTCCGTGAGGTCAAGGAGGGCTGGGGTGTGAGGAGAGACGGGGGGTGGGTGTGCGCGCGCGCAGGATTTTTCCGCTCCCGCTCATGGCTTTGGAACTGATGTCAGATGATGTGATTATTGTGTGCATGAGTTGTCAAGGAGGTACAGGTGGGTAGGTGGAGGAGGTGGAACAGTACTTGCGCCGAAGTACATCTTAGCAGTTGAAGCTGTGCCGGTCAGATTGGTCGACGCCCTGAATTTGGCAGCACTCGTGAATCTGCAGAGTGTTTTCAGAAACGCGTCTTTGCAGGCACGGCGACTCTATTCTTCAAGACACACTGGAAACGGGGCGGTGCCAACATCACTTTTCCTGCATGTGTCCGCTGCCATTTTTTTTCGTTTAAAAACATTGCGTATGATCCCGTGATGCATGGCGTAATTCAATGTAAACTGCGGACCTTGTTCGGTTGCGGACTCGGTCAATCCAACGACCGTTTATCCAGACCGTTGCCCAGTTGATTGGTTGAACACATCATGCATTTCTCAAAAAGCATGTTCAGGTGATTTTTATCAACTTGAAAAGATCACTTGAAGGGGCCCAATTGATCCTTGTTTTGCACCAAGAATCGATGGAAGCAACTGCTTGGTGCCTGGTGCTTTCAACCCTTAGAGATGATTGGATAGGGTCACATAGGGTCAGTTTGAGATGAACATACCAAGAACACACTATACTTGAACAGTGTTGAACATTTGCATCACTTGCTCCGAAGTTAAAAGAGGTTGAATTATTGAACCTGTAGATCCCCATTACCATTTCCACTATGAAATGGGTAGCCTCAAGGCCTTTATAAATAGATTGGTGTTCACGGTCATTGTGTAAGGATGAAATGTCAGGCACCTAGGCAGTTTGTAACAAGGTAACTGAACATCATTTTGTAAGAAGCCCGGTCTGGTGTTTAATACAGGAGGTCATTTTGTAAGGAAATCAACTTCTTGAGATCATGGTGGTGGGCTGGCATCACCCATTGTGTAAGAGTGCTATTATTATAAACAAACGCAGTTTGTGAGAAATGTATGAAATTAATCATGAATGTTTGTGATTCAATAATGTGGCTAGGTTGCGCATCATTATTCCGTAAGGAACTTGCAACCGTTTTCCATTGTCAGGTTGTAAGGAAGTAGTGCCCTGTGGGATTTGAATAGGTTTGGTTTGCGATCTAATGAGTGTGGCTAGCAGAGCGCTGAAAAAGAGCCAGCAGCATGTCCTTACAAAATGAGTCGTTGGTGTTCAATGAAATGTTAGGCTTTTTGGCATGCTGAGGCTGAGGCATCCACATTGAACAGTGAATTCCTTATATAAGCTGTTAGGGTATGACCCCTGGAAAATGTCTATATGCCTCTACAAATTGAGATGGGCATCTACAAGGGCCATTTGTGCCTACGTGAACTGTAATTTTGTAAAGTCAGCATGTTTGAACACTCGTCCTTTTGTAAGGTTGAGGGTATGCCCCTTCGCTCTATACCTACCACATGGGGGCCTTGACCCCTTCGGGGGGGGTACTGGGGATACCTATCCCAGAGACTCCATGTATGGCATATTTACCTACATTGGGGTGGTTTGGGGGGTCAATGTAGGCATATATGGCATACATGGAGTGTCTGGGTATAGGACAACTTACCCAGATCAGCTGAACACATTGACTCCTTCTCCCCGTCAACCCGAGTCCACCCAGATCAACCCGGGCAGGTGGCACGCCAGCACACAGCAGTTGGAGACGGGTCCGATGGAGTTGGCACCCGAGTCCGTCGGTGCCAGGGTGAAGAGGTCCCGGGTTCAGGTCGAAGAGGTCCCAACCGGTCCGGTGAAGGTGAAGGTCATGTCCAGAATCAGAGCGGTTCATCGGAGCATGCCCACAGTTCGAGGCATGCGGTTCTTGGGGCGTGTGCATGTGAAGATGGACAACCTGCGTGTTCGATCTTGTTTGGTTTGAAATGTGGCAGCAAACAACCTGTTTACTTTGTGGACCAACTGTATCAGTTTAGCTTAGGGATGAAACACTTTATATACACCTTGTAAGAGCAATGGTTTGGATTCTCTCCCTACCCACTTGACCCTTCAAGGGGTGATTTGATTTTTTTGTAGTTGGAACCAATGCAAATATGTTTCACTTGAAGCCTCAGGGCTGGTATTGTTCATATGTGTTGGTTCCCAGTAAATACCGACATGTTCCGTGGGTGTTTGTATTCCATGTTTGTTCCGCTACCAGTGGTTTAAGGCGTTTCAGCACGTAGCTGGGCGCCCAAAAAACCCATCGATGAGCAGTTTGTCCTCTCCCCGCCCAACGGTTCGTGCGCCGCGCCGCAGTTTGGCCTCGCTTGGCCTCGAGGTTTTGGTTGGGCGAGTTCCAGACCGCCTGCAGTACACTGGAGGCTTGCATGAAGCTGAACCTGATAGATTCGGTGAGCCAAAGCCCAAAAAGGCGCCCCATCCCGGACCTTTCCCTCCAAATCCAATACCCAAACACTCCATGTGTGCCCATATTTGCATACATTGGGTGGGTTCAGGGATGACATCCCCAGCTCCTCCTTCTTAAACGGTCTGTGTGGCATCTACTTGTTCAGATTCTTGTGTCGATGAACACTGCACACCAATGTGCCACGAGAATTGTGCCATGATGTGATTTCCGGTTCATTTCCATTACATTCCATTACCTTCTTTGTTTGACCATATATAGCCCACTTGATGTTATTGATATTCTATAACCAGCTCGTTTTCCGAGCATGGGCATGGTCTGACCTCGGAGCCTGGAGCGCAGACCGCTTTCGTCCCGTCGTCTCGGCGTCCAGACGCGTCAGGCCGCCCTAGGGCCCAGCTTCCAAGCTGCGCTCGGGGCACCTGGAACGACATGGATGGGGTGCTTGACCAGTGAGAGCCCACGGTAGACTAGGTGGCAGTGTGCCAAGGTGTGATTGTTGTTGTTTGGTCGACCAGGTTGTTGTAGGCAATGCATGGTGCAGTGGTATATAATGATAATGTGTTTTTCCATGCGCACATCTCATCACATCTCTATGCCGAGGGATTGCCTAGGGTACCCAAGTATCGTACCCCCATAAACATGGCGCATCAGGTCTTGTACAATCAGGAAGTTCAGGAGGTTCTAAAGTCTGAACAAAAGGAACACATTGTGGATATAGGAGGTGTTTTTGGTTGACTAGATTAGGGAAACAATGGACAATCACCTCATTAACCAGCCCCAACGGCCCTAACGTTTGAGTTCCCTCTCTAAGAGTTATATATTTGATTCTACTTGTATGTACGGATTCTTGATGTAGTCACCTGTTGAGGAAGCAAAGCAATTAGGGTGTGGCAGCATAAAAGATCACTGCAAGGCTTTTGTACCACGTGATTTCGCTGAATACACTAGGAACATGACTACTCACTGGCTTGTTTGCTAGGGCACGAGAGTTGGGCCACGGGCGGGACTGCACAGGGTGCTGTCCATTCATGTTTGACTAGGATTCATTCGGTTCACACATTTGGTGTGTGTGTGTATACGGTGTAGAGCAGCAGTGTAGAGGATGTACATGGATCATGTCCCAGACACTCCGTGTATGGAATATGTACCTACATTGGGGTGGTGTCAGGAATCAATGTAGGCATATATATATATATTGCATACATGGAGAGCATTCCGATGGAGTTGGAAGTCTGGTGGCCGAATCAAAGCAGCAAACAAACTTTAACAGCAAATCAACGCGGTGTTGCTTTTCGCAGGTCCCAACTTTGTAGAGTATGAGCATGATGAACTTGCAGTTGTACAACGTGGGATGCTAGGGACTCCAAGCAATGTGTTACAGAAAATCTGAGGCCCAGTACTCATGTCAACATCTAATGATCTAATGATATCTAATGCGTTCACTTCCATCTTCCTGCCGTGCCCTGCCGTGTCCGGGAGATCCGCTCCGCTCCGCACGTCGCAGAGGTGGCAGTCGCACATGCCGCACCTGGAAGCATCCGAGCAGCGCTGGCCCCTCCTGGAGAGTTCCTCCGGGCAGGGGGGATGGGCGGGGAAGAACTGGTGGATGCTTGGGGAAGGATGGATGAGCACCTTAAGTGCTGGCTTGGTAGTGATTTTCTTTGTTCAGTTTTTCTAGAGACACATCCACAGCACTTTTCAGTCGAACTTGATCCAGATTGGTTATATACTCTTGTGTGCGAACTCTGCCAGCCTCCCTTCCATGGCCAGAACTTTTACACCCCATGGCCTTTTTTCCTCGCCACAAGCGGCACTGGCCCGGCACAGGGACCTACATGATGTGATGTGGCGCTTGGAAGCCTTAGAGTTGAGTGCGGGTTCCCCAAAGGCCTTCGCGTGGACTGGGAAGATTTCGGGCAGTTACGCCCAGTGGGCGGACAGTTGGTTTGGAGTGAGAAGCCCAGTTTGGCAGCGGACGATGGGTTGTAGGTGGCACGACCTGGGGATGCTTCATGGTATATAGGTGTTTTTTTGAATTGGACATCATCTGGCTGGGAAGTCAACCCGTTTGTTAAAGCCTTAGTGTTCCATCTAATGGCAACACCCCTTCTACCGCGAGTGGCTTTGATGGAAGCACAAATGACACGCAGCCAGGTCACCCCATTGATTTGACAGCACTTGAAGCTGCCGTTGAAGTTGAAGACCATGGTAGAAGAATGCCGCAAATGCGCCGTGAGCCTGTGGAACCAACAGGCCACGCGAGTCGTGGAACCTTGTCAGGACAATGAAGCATCTCAGCCTGGTTTTTCTCCACCAGATGACATTAACGTGACAGCTGTCTACCGCTGTCTAATGCTCTCAGGTGTGGCCCACTTTTGAACTTTGCCCACATTTGGGATCGGAAGTGGGCAAGAAACAAGGCTTTGGCGTTGGACAAAAGATTCACAGGAAAGGAAACTTTGGACCCAAATTCCAAAGGTTGGCAAAATTATTCGAGAGCTTTCTTTGACAATTTCTTCGACGGTAAGTCAATTGCGCAAGCTGTGCGAGAGCTGCCAAGAATTTGGAAGAACTTCTCAACTTGATGGTGAAGCCCCACGATAGTCAAGGACCAGAAACCGCCACGAGCGTTAACAGATGAAGATTGCTATCGAGTGTTGCTCCATTGTGTGCATGATGTTTGACACATTGATCTTTGGTGCAGGCCGCTCTGTTCAACGCACATGTCGAAGACCCTATGGGCATAAAACGACGTGCAAGATGTGAGAAGAGCATCAGCAGTTTAACCTACAACTCAATCAAGCACAAAACCAGACAAGAGATTATCGAAGTCCTTACCAATGCCTGTTGGAAAAGAAGTTGACCAGACCTCAATGGCACAATGAAATGATGTAATGGAAACACATGAGCGCGCAATAGTTCAAGGCAGCAGGCCATTAGGGCTTTTCCCACTTGTCTTGCAAGTCTTGAGCAGGACTATAACTTGGTGGTTTGGCGTTTGTTTATCACATGTGTTTCAACCTAGTTATAGACTTATAGACCAGTTGTAACAGATTTTAACAGCGGCAACAGAGCTAAGTTCTTTAGATGAACTTATGGTATTTATATATATAATTTATTTAGTTTTGTTGTGTGAGATAGTCAGTTCATGTAAGTTCTACAAGTTACTATTTTAACACAATACTGTTTAAAACAATCTTAGAGAACTTCCAACTATATAACTTAGGAAAGTTCACTTTGAAGATGTTTCAATACTATTGTTTTTAGTTTATTCAATCGATACTGTTGTCATTGTCATATGTGTCACACGAAGAACAAAAACACATGACATGACAGCTCCAATTGACAAAACAGTTTCGCAGAATCGATAGGGAAGGGAAAAACAGTTCTATGTTAGAGATGGTGGCTCTGCCCAATGGAAATACATTGACTGTGGTGTCAGTGGACGTTGCGGTTGATGCGAAGCGCTGCAACCTCACTCTGACCCGCACCAGCAAGCGCGTTGCTTCAGATTCGTGGAAGGCGGGAGTCCTTCACGGGGGCCCGCTTGGCGCGAGTCCTTCAAGCGACACTTGCACGGATGTTTCCCTCCATCGAAGCCGGACACTCGCTGCACGCGCGTGGCGTTGTCGTTCAGGTCACGATGATTTACTGCGGCTCATGGATTCGGTCGTGGCCCATGGATTCGGTGTGGTGAAAAACCTGGTTCATCCCATTGGCATTCCAAATCAACCAGTCATTAAGGTACGACTGTACCCTCCAAACCTACACAACAGTGTGTCCAATCACCTTCTGAGAAGGTACTTGGATCCCTAGGGTTTCATCCCTGACTTAAAGGGGTGTGAAGACCTGTGAAGAGCAGAACATGACCCGATGTCGGACATGATGGGGAAGGTGCGTGGATGTACGACCTACCAAGGAGGTACGTGGATCTCCTGCAGGTCACCAAACTTTGGGGACATTTGGGGACACCCCAACAAGAGGTATGAACGGGTGGAATGGGGTTCTCCTCTATTTTCCAGGGAAACGGTTTCGATGTCCGTTGAAGAGTTCGGTTTCGGTGTCGCGGCGCAGAGTCCGTGGTGTAGTGGCCTCGAACGTTCGATGTTTAGGGTTCCGAAATCCAAACTGATATGTGTAGTATGATTGGCATGCAGATTTGCAAATATATAGTGTGTATATATAGTAAGATATATAAGGACCAATAAGATCAAACAACATATAAACAACCGTACATATTACGTAATACAATAGAGATGCATGTAGGGATCCTCATGGGATCCTGGGATAGCTTCTGAATGGGCTAGAGTCGGCTAGAGCCGTTTGTATCTCGGGGCAACCCTACATACTTGTGGATCTGTATTGGACCCTCTTTTGAAGCTGCAGATAGAAAGACCTTTCCCACACTTCCCACTCAAGAGGAACAACCTTCACTGAGCTTTAAAGTTGAGTTAGTTATTGTACCCTGTTGCAGATCCATGCAGATCCTATTGATCCTATTAATCCATGGTTCTTTTGATCCATGTGGACCTCTATAGCCTTTTTGTGGCGGCTGCGGCGACCTGGTCTTTGAGGTGTGCCGCTTAGAACAGCGTTTGCTCTCGGGAGCACGCTCGGGACGCTTCTACGGGGCAGCTTGGCAAGTGTCCGCCGTCTTTGACTGATTCACTTTTGCACGGAAGGGGTCGGTTGCCCATTCATGTTGACGGTTGATGAAGAACCCTCCTCGCATGTTTGACAATAGAAGTTGGAGGGTGTTTGATTCATACTGTCAACAGTAGAAGAAACCCAAATTTCTGAAGTAGGGTGGGAGTGCTTTGACATTCTGGCAAGGACCCTTGACACAGTGGTGGCTGGAGACTCTTTGGGATTGTTATCGAGGAAGCAACGTGTTTGTCAGACTGATCTCGATTCTTTGATGGCTGTATGCAGAGGAAACAACTGACGATGTTGGTTCCAACGTTCAAGCCTTCCAACAATCCATGATACTTTTTGTAGGGAGGCTACTGCATAGTCTTAAGATAGCCAATGCACCGGCTCTGTCTTTGGGACAATACAACATGTTGTTGTGTCTGAAACATCGAATCCTTGCACGCAACCTTCAACCCCCACCCCTCAGGGGCCTGGCACACCTCCAATCCCTCTAGCTCCCCAATCCTTCTTTCCCTGGCGCACTCCCACCTGAGGAGCCGCCAGGGGTTTTATCGCGTTTTGCTCAGAAAGCTTTGAGCTGGCACGAAGCCCCGGGCTGGCGCTATGGGTGGACTGTGAGAGATTTGGGGGAAGAAGTTGGAAGACCAGAGAATCCATTGAACACTTTAATACATTAGATAGCTGGCTGATGTCGCGGACACGGGACGGGCATTCCCAAAAACAACTGCATTCAGACTGATTCAATTGTATAATTCTGCCGTTTGGAGTGAGATGTTTAATTATAGGCGAACCTACTGTTGTTCCAACAAGACCAACTTGTCAGTTTCTGCTCGTTTCTTCCAGCGTAGACGAGGAAAGCTGGCTTGCAATGATTTCGGGCAGAGCAGTCCTCTGGCACCAGCAATACATGCAATGTAATGGAGATGCCCAGGATGATGGAGGATGATGGAGGATGGGCGAACCTGTGGCTTTGGGTTCTTGGTAAGCTTTACAATGGTTTCAGAGCAGATGGCACAGACCCCATGATGCCCTTTGGATGGGGGTCCATATAAACATATATAAACCACGTCTTGGGGTCTGCGCCATCTACTCTCACTCCACCATAAATTTATGCCAATGCCTACAACCACCAGTTCGGGCAGATGCTCTGCTGGAACTGAACATCAGTCTTTTTCAAGGTAGACAGTAGTCCTGCAGCCTGCAGTGGATGTCTTAGGAATAGACACTCCATGGGACTGGAATATGCACATACATTGGGGGGTTGAAAAGGCATCAATGGAATGAACACTAGGCATATATTCCTTAGATGGCGGGTTTGGGTCAGGAATAGACTACTATAGGTATAGACTACCATGGACTTGTCAAAGGCAGAAGGACGCTGCCCTCAAGACTCTTTTTGCTCGCATTCCCAGTCTTTTGTGTCAGAGTCTTCAATGTCTTCTGGAGGTGGTGCATAGTCGGTGGCCACATGCAGTTCTTCATGGTGGGGCTTTACAGCCACGTGCGAAGTCGGTGCTACTCCTTTTGCAGATCACTGTTCATAGCCACCCAGGTTTCCAAAGGGGTGCCTTTGGAGTCGTTCGGGGTTCTACTCATTCATACCCTAGACACTATGGTATTTCATATTTGCGTACATTGGCGTGGTTGAAAAGGGGGGTCATATGGGTGGCATATGTTTCAGTCTTGTTTGCGTCTTTGGGTACTCATTCTGACTCCGCAAACCAGAATTCACACAACTCAAAGAATTGAAGAAGATCCATGGGAGAAAACCAGCTAGGATCTGACCAATGGAAGAGTCCTTGTTCACCGTAGCTCACTGCAGACCTTGTACCTTGATGAAAACACAAAAAACTGGTGTGTATAATGTGTCTATTCCCCATATGAGTCTTTCCCAATTGAGTCTTTCCCATATAGCGGCTACATCCCATGGTGTGGGATTGATCAATCCAAGAAGTGCAGCCGGTGTCGAGGCTGGGTCTGTGAGGCACCGACAGCTTCGGCGGCGAGTTCCAAAGAGTTCAGTGGGAAGACATGAAACATGAATTGGTTGAGTACAAACAAATGAATACAGGTGTCACAGTGGACCAACTTTCGCAGTCGATACAGGCCAGATCTATAAACATATATATTTCTAACAGACAGGTATTGTCTCGAAGATTCGAAGATTACAGTTTTTATCCCTAGAAGGCCGACACTCACAGGCTGGGTGTGGCGTGACCTCAAAAGGATCAATCCAATGGGGGGTGAAAGCTCACGGAGCCACAACTAGCTAGCTTCGAACAGGAACAGAGTCATTGTATTTGCGTGCACATGTGTGTCACGCAAACCACAAAGTAAAAACAGCCCGGATGCACGGTTGATGTTCCTCCTTTGCCTCCCATATTTCCTATGGTTCATCACTGAGGGCTTCCTTTCGTGTGTCTGTTCAACGCGCCTGCGCCCTCTTCTGATCCCAATCAAGATATACATTGAAAAGTTGGCCAGCATGCCAGAGGCCAAAGTTTTCTTGATTCAACGGATATTATCCCCCTGCGAGAATGTTGTGACCCCACGTGGTAATGGTACAAGAGCGGATCTCTTCCAACAGCCGATTTCAGACAGCCGTCATAGAGCTCACAGCTCAGCTGCTCCTTTTTTAGACTAGATCGAGTGGATCTATTGGAATGTCCAGTGGTCGCCCAGTGGATCAGTAGAGTGTTTGGGAATGAGAACTGTGATTAAACCCGACTACCTGAGGGCCATGTCATGGGTTTTGTGATGTCTTTAACGAGTCATGGCTGGTCGAATCCGGTAGATTTAAGATTACTATCCTTGAAAGCGCAGTAAATTGGCGATCGCGTTCAATCTGTTCGGCGATCACTGGAGATAGACCCCATCTTTTCTTCCTCTATGGTT